ACTGATTTGAACGAGGAGCCGCCACAAAGCAACATGGTACACTTTTCCTCATCCGTTGTTTTCACCATCAACGAACAAGACCGGGGTTTGTATCCAGGCTGCCGCGCGCGAAGCACTGGGAAGCTTGGAAACACCTTGGGGCCTGCCCGAGCCCTGAAAGTTAGGCACCAGAAACAAGGATTCCAGCCAGATTTTCGAGCTCTGGCACAGTCGCGTCATGTCCGAAGCGCAGGTGTGGCATGCAAGCAGCACTTGGTGACGGCGCAGCTTTCTTCGAGGCCCGAAGCTTCACTTTGACTCCCACGTCAGGATTAGGAAACAGTCCTCTGAACAGTGATTGCTCGCATTGCCAAGGGGCACGAGCGGCGGTGCAGGTGTGGACTCCTCGGGAGATGGTGCCGGAGCACCTCAGCCATGCGGGGCTCAGAATCTCGAGAGAGTGGGCACTTTGCCGCCGAGAGCCCTACCGGAACCAGGACCCGGAGGACCCGGAGTTCCCGGAGGCCCCGGAGGACCCGGAGCTGCAGGGGCCATTCCTGTCACATGACACGCAGAAAGCCTAGTTTGCAGAGCCCTGAAAGACCTGGCCCATTCCGTGCCATGACGCCCGGCCTGGCTGCGCCGGAGCACGGTTGGGCTTGAACAAGGTCACGAAGACATTGCCCCAGAGATAAACCTCTCCACGCAAGTCACAAGGCTTTGGGGGGCTGAGCTGAGTTTCGAATTCATCTTCGCCAGAACTGCGCATGGACCAAGGAAGGCAGAGCACAGCGTCCACGACGCCGCAACGGTCACGACTAAACAACTCGCCATGCACGGCCTGAGCGAAGATGGCAAGAAGGCCGCCAGCAATGATCTTTGGCTGCAAGGGCTCGACCTGCACTGCTGATCAGCTGAACTTGAGACGGCTGTTAACTCCCGATAAGCTGGCTGAGTGCGAAAAGTCGGGTTGCCGTCGCGGCTGTTTCACACATGTCTTATACTGAGCTTCGCATCTGAACCAACCTTATCGGCAGCTGACAAGCAAAAGTCCCTAAGCACGATCTACTGGCCGGGGCCTGTGGCTCGTCTAAGAGGCGTAAGTCATCCTGGGCGTCTGGGACACTCGCCTTCAATAACCTGATGTTTTCACTTGCCAGGCCCCCCACCGGTGGTTCGGCTGGCGGCACGTAGCGTTGCCGGTGACTGTCGCGAGTCATAGAGGCATGAGGAGAAGGTCATGGGCTTTCAAAACAAGACCGAGCTGCGGCTCGTTCTGCGCGTGATGCGAGATGATGTGATGTCGCACCTGAGCAAATCTCGGCAAGGCCCAAGGGCATTCGCTGACATCGAGGAGAGAGAGTGTGATGGTGATAGTGGCGGTTTTGACACAACATGTCCGAAGGCTGGCACTGTAACATGACCGCCGTCACCTGGCAAAAAGGCAGCTCTAGCAGCTCTGCTCTAGCATTCCAGTACTTCCAAAAGACCAGAAACAGCCAGGACTGCCCTGGCCATGGGTTCCCGTGTGCGTCACGGTTTCCTGGGCGTGTCACGTCGCGGAAACAGGCCCAGAAGCCAAGACAACAACAAATACTTGTGTTGGCATCCTCGTGCTCCGAGTACGACATTCCACGACCTTGCAGAGTCTGTGGCGAGGTGGGACTCCCTGAATCGAATGATGCATGCAGTCTCAGTCTCGCTTCGGTAGTTGGTAGGGCGCTTGCCAGAGTCCGCATGATCCTGCTGATGGTGATGATGATGACCATCAACACCATGGTCGTGGTGATGGGTGACCTACGCAGATCTTCTGCCGTTTCCGGGGCTGCTTCAGAAAACTCTGGCGAAGAGTTGACTCAGTCTGAGGGTCTAGCATGATGCTCGTGGCGGACAACCACGGGTCCACTGCCATCTCCCTTAGGCCGGGCATTTCTGGATTTTTCCTGGAGAAAGGTGTGCTGTGGCGCCTCCATCACCCAGTACTGGACTTCCTCCTCCGGGTTGTCGTCAAAGGTGCCCGATGTCTGCCCAGGATGCTCTCACTGAGCCTAGTCATGAACCTGACTCCCATACTACTGCTCTGAAGGGCCATGGAACTGCGCATACTCCTGCGGGTCACTCAAAGACAGTGCGCAAAGCAGCGAATGCTAAACTCCGCTTTGTCGCAAAGCGTGCCACTGGATAGCCACACTCCGGACGATTGATCACAGCTTGCCGCGGCGACAACTCCGATTACAACTCACGCTGCGTGCTTGGTGTCAATGCCCTGCCATGCTGAGCATAAACAGGCGTGCCTCTGCAGGATCGTCGGGGATTATCTGATTTTTTGCCTTGCCAAGCCATTTTCCACATCATCCAACATTTCTGAATCAAGCAAACTCAGTCCGGGACAAGGTCCACATCAACAGGGACATGAGATGCCGCCTCAAGCATCAACGGCCGTGCGTGGAGAAGCTGACAGACAGCGCTGCAGTGAGGGCTGTGCTGCATAGTTTGCTGCGAATGCCTGCGCTCAATGTCAAGTGCACTCTGCAGCGGATCTCCGACCGTAGCAGCCCAGCACCACGTACACCACAAACTCCGCGCAACCGCTCCGCCCACGGCACCTGCGCCTCGCCCGGTGACTGGATCGGGATGTCAACCGGACGCCGCCCTTCTTGGCCCGGCTGAACCTCCGAACGCTGGGTCGAGAGTCGAGAGCACGCCACGATCGGACTCCAGCAACAACACAACTCAGTCGACTCTCCCTTGACGTTGGAGTCGAAATCCTCTCGACGGCACGAAATCATGGCGGTGTGCTCACACCTCTTCGAGGATGAAGTCTCGCCGCCGCGGGCCGGCGGACGCATTGATTTCCGCCAAACCCACCTGACTCGCAAGCAGTTCTGGAGCTTGTGCAGTGTAACTCCCTGGCCGACGAATAGCGGCACTTTAAGGGGCCAGACCGGCGGCGCAGCGAAGTCATCAGTGGCATCGCTGAAAACCTACAGAGATGAACTCAGTCCTCCTCCAAGAGAGAAAAGAGAGAGACAAGAAGAACGAGGAAGAATTGGCCGAAGTCGCCCGGCCTGCATGGGCGGCACGTCGGGCATCAAGTCCGGGCCGCTGAAGAAATCATTGTAAGAAGTCCGCAGCCTCGGTGCGGTCGAAGCTTAGGCCACACGCTAAACTTAAGTCTCCTCGTTTCAGAGCTGCTGGTAGCGTGTTCCGCGGAGGCTCATCCGGCAAGCTATGTGACTAAATGGTCATCAAGGGAAAAGCATGACACCAAAGCTGTTCAGACACCCGCCCATGCTTGCGCAGGAGCTCCAGCTTGAAATCCTGGAGAGTAGTATAGCACAGCAAGGTGCAGATTCTCGCATCATCGTCGGACTACGGCGACGACAATGACCACGACCAATGGCACAGCGTTCTTGCCATGCATATACACATACACACACACACACACACATCCTCCCTCCTTTCTTTCCTTCCATCCATCCATCCAGGAAGGCAGGCAGGCAAGCAGACACACAAACAGACAGCCAGCGAGCCAGGCAGGCAGGCAGGCAGGCAGGCAGACAGGCAGACAGACAGATACAGACTGGCAGAAAACCGAACGGGTGGTACATATCATGATGATGGTACAAGTCGAGATTCACAAGGGAAATTACGATGGTGATGCATATAAGTCACACCTAAGACAAATGACACTAGCATGTCGAAGTGCGTTGGGCATGTTGCTCGCTGAAACCGATTGATACAGGCAAAGATGAACAGTACTAGTAGCCCAAGTATTATTCTTTCTCAGCAGCAGTGGCAGTAGCAGGAGCAGGAGCAGCGGCAGTGGCAGTGGCAGTAGGAGTAGGAGTAGGAGCAAAAGTAGGAGTAGTAGTAGTAGTAGTAGTAGTAGTAGTAGTAGTAGTAGTAGTGGTAGTAGTAGCAGTAGTAGTAGTAGTAGTAGTAGAAGTCGTAGTGGTAGTGGTAGTGATACTAGTAGTATTAGCAGTACTAGTAGCACTAGTACTACTAGTAGTACTGTAGTACTACTAGTACTAGTAGTACCAGTAGTACTAGTAGTACTAGTAGTACTAGTAGTACTAGTAGTACTAGTAGTACTAGTAGTACTAGTAGTACTAGTAGTACTAGTAGTACGAGTAGTACGAGTGTACTACTAGTACTAGTAGTACTAGTAGTACTAATAGTACTAGTAGTACTAGTAGTACTAGTAGTACTAGTAGTACTAGCAGTACTAGTAGTACTAGGAGGACTAGTAGTACTAGTAGTAGTGCCCCTAGCAATTGACCTCAGAATAACACTGCCCGTAAGACTCGCCCTACCATGGCTGACAGCATGACAGCCTATGATTACTCATCTTTTGACCGATCCGAATACTCAGAACTTAGTAGAGGCCATTCCACGCTTGAAATTGAATTGAGCACAGCATGAATTAGCGTCAATCCTAACAGCATGAAGATTTTATTGGCGACGACTGACCCCGATCATGGTGACGATGTTGGAGCCTGGTCGAGCCATCTACCTGAGAAATGGATCCAAACAGCAACCCGACTAATGTCACCTAAATTGAACTTACTACAACACCACGATTCGCATTCCTCGCACTGGGGCCTTGGTGGAAACCCTATATTGGCTTCCATGCAAACCCTAAGGCAGTGCTAGCAGACCTAGCATGAGCTCTCATGCGCTACGTAGGTATGAGAACGAAGTACAGTACTGGCGCCGCATACCAAAATCCAGTGCCTCTGCCCGGAAGCTTGCAGGACGCCTGGCAGGGGACAGCTGCAAGTTGGCCCGCGGAGGAGAGTGTGGCTGTAAGGCAGCTGCAGCTCTTTTTGTAATTCCTTGTGATTTGTTTAGTTAGCGATCGATCGAACAAGCAAACACATCCATGTCCATAAGTGTGTAAGTTGTAGGTATGCCTATGTAAAACATATGTATGTCTGTACCCTGCTCCACCTCCTACCGGTGCTGTTGCTCGTCCTGCTACTCCTCCTATCTACATCTGGTTACTGCTGCTGCTGCTACTGCTCCTGCTCCTGCTCCTGCTCCCGCTCCCGCTCCTGCTCCTGCTTCTGCTGCTGCTTCTGCTGCTGCTCCTGCTGCTGCTCGTGCTGCTGGCGGTGGTGATAGAAGCAGCTGTTGCTGGTTTTTTTGTGCACCACCGCTTTGTTGTTGTCCGAAGCAGACAAGCAGAAGACCTCGATGTTGTCGGCAGCTTCGTGCTGTTGCTGTGTCAGTAGGATTACGAGTGTCACGACTGCGTCGGTATACCTCCAACAATCCAACATATCATATGCTGCCTTCGGGCAGCCTTCACTCAACGAAGCACAGCAGCTATGCCTTCGGCTGCGAGGCGACTTCCCGCAAGCTGTGAGCTCCTCCTCGAAATTTCGCAAATCTGCAGCTAACTGGAATCAATGTCAATCCTCTAGAATATCGCAACCGGAGGGACTAATATCTAAATATCCCGATCAAGCAGACTCAGGTCATCGCGAACATCGTGCCATGTGTCCTGGCCTGCAGCTCCTCTTTGCGAGAAGCACCAGGATGATGACCTCTCGAGACTTTTATCAAGATGTTCGCTGAATGGAAGCACCGGGGGCGCAGCATACGGCTTCCTGCAGAAGGCCCCGCGGCATTCTGCAAGCCCGCTAAGTCTATCGTTGTTCCTTTTGTTGCTATGGAGGTTGCTCGGTCGTCATCTGGTTCGGTGGCGGGGTTGTACGCTGAAAGAGCGTTGGCTAGAAGCTGGATGCATGATTGCTGAACCGCCTGAGCCCGAAGACGGCGGGGAATCTGCCGGAACTGCATGCTGTCCGTTTAGTCTTGGATCCAACAGGCCGCATTTATGCTCTCCGAACCCTCGTCATCCCCTCCCCGCTAAGCAGGCGACACTTTAGGGAGTCGTGGAACTTCGCAAGAACCAGCTCTCGCGAATCCTTCTACTTTGTGATTCAGGGCATGGCTTTGCTCTTCGGCCGTCTTTCCGTGCAGCCGTTCCTTGACGCGATACCATCAAAACCGTTCTTTCAGCACGGCTTGTCATTCTGATGCGTCTGGTATTAGCTGGGCCTTCTGCATTCACGTTCAGGATCGTTCAAGGCTCTTGCTTCTTCAGGCGTGCTTGCAAGAATTTTGGGGCTTCAGGTGTCTTGATCGTCCGTGCACGGGGTGGAAGGGCGAGTAACTTCTCTCCCAATGCCTTGGCCTACTCCTAGTCCTATTGTCAGCAAATTCCTGTGAAGCTCCTTTTTCAGCTGCTAGCAGCAAGCTGGGATGGTTACCGGTCTGTCCCATGCTCCCATCTCCACTGCAGCGCTTGCTGGCGCAGTGCACAAACACTTCTGCAGCAGGCCGGTTGCTTGATCCGCACTCAGGTCGGGCCCCGCCCCGGTGGTGTCGACTTTGAGTTTACAGTGTAGACATGGCCTGAGGACTACTCTTAAGTACGAGTACCTACAGTACACGACATGGCGGCAGTCCGTACCGAGGCAGCCATGCTGCTGTAAATGCTGCTCAGCTGCTCTTTTTTCACTCAACTCCATGGCTCTTTTTCGGCCAGGCTTTGGAGATCCGGCAGAGGCTCTCTGCGACTCCGGGCTCACTGCTGGGCTTCTTCGTCAGCAATAGGATTCGCGTGTATCACGATGCTCTGGCGACGAGACAGGAGAAATGCAGGCTTTTTGCGCTTAGTGCCGAGGCATGGCTCGAGCGACGGCTCGCGCCTCAATCTTGATCGGCCGCATCGGTCTGTTCTTGGCATTGATGGGTTCCTAGCGCAGAAACCGTGGACTCAACGGGAAGTGCAAAGCGCATCCTGCAACCGCCACAGCCAGCCGCATCCTTCTCCATCTTGTCAAGGGTGTCCAGGCCATCAATCAGCCTTCCAGCTGTCCGTCAGCACCGTGAACTCAGGGCAAAAGACTCTGGTCTGCCTTCCGAAGGTGGTGTAGACACCGTTAAGGTGAGGCTGGCGCGAGTACCTCTGCAAGGCACACAGAACACGTCGCACATCGGGCCGCCTCCGCCCGCACGTCACAAAGAACTGGCTGCCGTTGGTGTTCGGGCCGGTGTTCACCATAGACAAGCAGCCTTGCATTTCACACCATGACGGGAGCAGACATGAGCAGACCGTGGACTCCTTCGACCATGCCTCTTCTCTCATGCTTCAATGTGGACACAAACTCGTCCTGGACCGACATCGGCATCAGCACAGTCAGGGCGGCAGTTCCAGGAGCCTCGAAATAGCCGCCGTAAATGCTCTGACCACCTTTGCCAGTGCCGGTCGGATCTCCACCCTGCCAGCATCGCTTCAAGCTGAATGTGCCTCATGCTGCACAGAGGCCGATGCCTGGATCATGAAGCCCTTGATATTTCTGTGGAAGTTCGTGTTGTCATAGTAGCCTGGCGAAGGCTGTGTTCAAGTCACTGGCGGATATGCTTGCATCACTCACAACAGCAAGAGCAAAGGAACGTCTTGGAAAATTGGACTCTAGAAATGCTTAACGGAAGCTCTTCCTTTAAATGACCTTCCAATGTGCGAAGGGACCTATGTAATGTGCCGCTGCCAAACCCCAATCCGGTGGGAGCACCAGAGGCAGCTAGCGCCAGGAAATTCTTGCACGACTTCGGAGCTTGGGCGCAAAACAGCTCCACCTGGCGACCGCGCAAAACATCTGACAAATTGGGCCCACGGACAGGCCCACAGCTCCTCTTAGCGACACTGCTCCCTCAAAGGCCTTGAGCGGCCCCAAGTTGGTCTTGATGGTGAGCGACATCTCCCTGGCGCTCAAGAGAGGGTCTCGGAGTCTCGAGTCCAGCCGCCTAGCCTGCATTTCCAAAGGTCAGACCACAGTGAAGATCACTGACGATCGCCACAAATAGACCCCAACCCTCGAAACACAAGCACAACGTGACGAAAGCGCGCCTTCTGGGCGTCTTGCCCAGGCACACGCTTCAGCTTGAGCCCAGACGAGGAGTCAGAATCATCGCTAAGCCGGTATTTTGACAAGCCTTCGCGTGGCTGTAGAGATCATCAGCAGAGAAAGAGCGCAGCCCCTGTGAATTCACCCTTGGCTTTTTGCGAACTGGCCGGAAGCTCAGCGTCACTCCGCAGCGTCTCTGCCTAGCAAGTCTTTCGACTGCAAGATCAAGGTCGAGTCCAGACGAACCCAACAGCAATATCAAGCCCACAGCTCACAGCTACAAGCGTGTCCGCAGCACCAAGACATGATCACCGTGCGTGTGAACCTGCATGACGGCAGTCGAGTCAGTAGTTCCTGCGAAGCATAAAGCCTCCCACCTGGCGGATCAGATACCGTCCTTCATCCGCCCACTCCACGACCCTCACGGCATCGGCTCAGCTTCGGAAAGAAACTGCTTGAAACAGGCGCCTTGCCTCTCGTTCATAGATATCTGAATGCCCAGGTGCTGAAGCGCGATTCGCGAATACCTGAACAGCATTCAAAAGCTAAGCTTCCGAGACCGGACCGGACCGGCCCTTGGCACATCCTGATCAGTTTTTTTGCGATGCAACACAGCGTCTCTGACCATGTGCTTGAAGGCTTTCGAAACTCTATACAGTCGATACATGACACGATGAAGCAAGACATGTTTGCTATTTCTACGGTTCCATGGTCTTGGAAGCTTCTCAGGCCGGTGCCACTGGCCCAGGTATGGAATCCTCGGGCTCTGCAACGCAGACATGTTGTTGCAACAGTTGAGCTTACGGAGGCTGTCGTCGTGGTGGTGCTGGGGCTGGTGGTGCCGCTTCTGCTGCTGCCGCCGACTGCCGCCGCTACTGCCGCTGGTGCTGGTGCTGGTAACATACATGCAGGGTGGCGCGTTGACAGAAAGATGTCATGCCATCCTCATTGGTGTGCAGCTAATGTGAGGAGCTGGCTGTCTGCTTTGGACAAAATCCTGGAGTTCGTGGAGGGCGGCCTCGGCAAGGCAAGCGCTGTTTTTTGCCGAGGTGCTTTCGCAGCCCAAACACATTGCAACACCAGCAAATGCACACAACTATCACTGAAGGTGCTCTGAAGTGCAGGAGCGCAGTCGACTTGTGTACCTTTGAATCATGGGCACTCACAGAATGACCGAGGAAGCGCACGTCGCCGGACAGCTCTCCTGGCTCTGAGGTACTCTCCACAGGGCCTTCCTCTTGATTGCTCTTCGCTCCCTGACAAGACTAAGAGTCAGGCTGACTCCCACTCCCTCAACCTGAAACAACCTCCCTTAGGCTCCTTGGCTCGTCACGATGCCCTCGCCACCCTCACGCCGCGTTGCCGAGGCCATCGCCCGAAACCCTCCGAAGCTCTCAAGTGCCGAGAAGCCGCCATCATGCAGTCGTTTGTGGTCACGCTTCTTCGAACGATCATGCGCGCAAAAGCAGCGGGGAATATCTCAGCTCTGCCAACGACACTCTTGCCACGCCAGCGATTGGAGCGCAACCTCACGGCTTTGCACGAGAGTAGTAGTCACTACAAGTAGTAGGAATGCAGGATTGCCCTCCCCCTCTTAAGGAGGGCATCCCGATGCATTAGCAGGCAGAATCGCACGGCCCCTTGGCCGGGTGCTGCCATAACGCATACTACTGGGCAAACATAAGCAAAGCTGCGACCTTTGTCGCCGCTCTCACGATGGTGGCCTGCGTCAATGAAAAATGAACACATCGATCACATGCGCAGAACAAGCTCCGGAAGAAGTGCATGCAAGAGGCGCAAGTCGCCACTTCACCTCCGATCGGATGCGCTCCATAACCTTCCCACATCCGAGTCAGACACGAGCATTTGAGGGGTGGCGATGCAGTTGAGGTGGGCACAGCGAACATGACGGCAGACTGGGTCATTCCCCGCATGACCTCCTGCCGAAGCTGCCCTGTGGTACGCTCCAGCACATCTATCATTAAGGAGACCCAGGAAGGAGGAAGCAAGGCGGTCCATGCTGAGGCCACGATAGAGAGCGAGCGGACCCTCGTCAAAGAAGACCTTCGCCGACTTGAACTGGCAGACTGCTCAAAGCATCATGGTGCCACGAATCCATTTCAGGCAGCTGAGCTCCTGGCATTCTGCAAAGCTGCAGAGGCACTCGGCGCCAGCTTTGCCTCTTCGAATGCATCAACTGCTCCGATGGACCTCTGAAGCCTTCGATTCCGGCGCCTGCGCGAGCGCCTTCCCCCTCACCTCAGCGAACCAGAAGCGTATCAAGCATTTTCGTCGTCTAGCTCTCGCCTCGTTGCAGGCTTGGGCCCCCGCGTAGGGATACACAAAGCATGTTGCGATGCCCCGTGCAACTGGCAGAGGAAGGTCGGAGACATGAAGCATTTCGGAACAGGGGCCAGCTCATCTGAAAACTTTCAACGACGACCACCTCGACTTGTGACTCCCCATGAATCAAGGCTCTTGCTCTGCCGGGTGTTACCGTCACCAGATGTCACCAGGCCGGGGCGACCCGCTCCGAGCAGGAAGGCCACCAGAGGTGGGAGGTCCTGGAGAGCTACTAGTACTGGTGGCTCTGCTACGGCAGAGCAACTCGGAAAAAGAAGGCGATTCGTCTGTTGCAAGTTGAGGAGCATAGCCTGCAGCCTTGCGATGCTTCAGGATTTCGGCCTAGATCAGGTCTCACAACCGCCGATCCTGTCCTTGGCCGCTGCATGTCCGGCCTCGGAAAGGGTGGCGATTCTGGGGCGTGGGGTTCTACTCGGCTTAAAATTCGCATTGCCGACGTCCTCAGCCCCCTCTTCCCGAATAGGCTACCTGGCTACAAGTACCTGTTCCGATAACCAGTTGTCGAGGTCAAGGCATTCAGGATCTTGCTCTTCATCCAATCAAAGAGTGCGAACTCGATGCCAGGCTTCAGCGAAACCACGAAGTACCTCGAAAAAATTCAGCGAAAATATGCTGGATGTTGTACAGACTACAGGCCGCAGAAAGAGCCGAAGCGTGGCAGAACTATAGAGCTTTAGTGTGAGAGGCGCGCGTCCATGCAACAACCGCATGCCGCAGATGAGGCCTACCTAGTTCGGCTGGGTCGGGACATCTGTGTGCGTGTGTGCACGGACGGCTTTTTCGCCCATCCCACAAACGACACAACAGCTTCCTACTGGCCGCACGCACTCCCGGACTTCATTGCTGCGCGAAGGCCCTCTTGCGTGAAGAGGGCCTGCGAATCGATTAAGTCACAGCGGCTCTGCCGTCTCACAAAGAAATCTGCGACTTTGGCAAGCAAAGCACAGAAGAACCGCAGTGCAACAGGAATCATACAGCCCCGGATGCACCGAATGTGCAGAAACAGCCCACGTTACAAGTGAAGAGTGTCATTTCATGCATGCGGCCTTGTGCACTATGTCGGACTTCGAGCTGCTGGGCGGAGCCGTTTGCAGCTGCACGACCAGTGCCTCCCACTGCTGCATCTTACACAGGCAGCCTGTTCCCACAACTGTCAAACTGCACCGCAGAAAGGCCTCCATGGGAATGCTGATTGGCACGCACAAGAGATCACCTCTCTCAATATCTGGGAATATCTGGAATCTTTGCCACACACGATTCCTGCACTTCTTACGGTAATCTATAGTATGAACTTAAAATCTGCAGCAGAGAAGTACTGCATCCTCAGCAGCATGTTTACAGACTTCGAAAGCGCAGACGCGCTGAATATTTTGACTTTGACAGTTACAACATCGACCAGCACGCAAGTACAGCAAGAATCCAGGGTTATGCTGGAGGGGTCAGATCGACCGAAGCTGCGCGAGAAGCTGCGGCTCGTGCTTTTCGTGTGACATCGTGAGCCTTTGGGTGTCATGACGTGGCACTCGGGGCCGCAGCGAGGTGCTTAGGGTCGCAGTCGTCATTAGAAACAAGACGAATTGTGCCCGTAAGGTGCCCGTACATCTTTTAAGGTCGACACGACGCTTCGCATGGAACTGCAAGGTCCGTCCCGGCGGTCCCAGCGTGTCGTGTCGCTTGGGCCATCTTGAGGGCATGAAACGGCAGGTTCTGGGCTTTGGCAGCTCTCAATGTACCGAATGAAGTCAACTTCTCCTCGAGAGCAAAGACTTGACTTGCAGTACTTCATCACTGCATAGTACAGACATAGACACGGACGAGACGCAAACACAGATGGGCCATGCCGTCAAGCCAAAAGGCTTGCAACTCCAAGAAAAAAGGCCCTGCAGGCCCGCGCAATTGAAGGCTGACGACGCGGCACGGAAAGCAAGTCAGGCAATGCACGTGTGCACAAAAAACAAACCAAACACGCAGAAGCACAAACCGGGACAATCCCTCGCGAGAATATGGCGAGAAGAGCTACAGGTTGACACGGTCACCGCCTCATAGACTCCTCGCACTTAGACCTGGGTCATTCTACATGATCTGCAAGTTGTGCGGCCGAGGTGCTAATATACCCGAGTAGAACGGTTGCCTCTTCAGGAGCGAGAAGCTGGAGGATGCTAGAAGATGGAGTTTTGCGACAGTGCTGCCGATGATGTTTTGCCGAGCAAGAACTACGGTGCCCACCAGCAGGCCGGGTTCACGACCTCGTAGCCTGCAGAGCGGCTGGCAGATGCAAGCCGGTGTCGAAAAGACAAAACAGTGATACCACTGCAGAATTGACAGTTGAGAGATACAACGTGCACAAAGGCCACCGAAACTGCATGCGGTGAACCGGTGAGCACACAGGACGAAGACCCAACGCAGAGCAGAGCCACAGTTACGCGAAGTGCATGGACATGCAAGGAGTAGTGGAAGAACCAGGGCATAGTCCCACCCGAACATTGGAGCAGCTGCCTGCCTCCTGAGCAGGGCTTTCAGAGCCGTATAGTTCAACACGTACAAGGCCTTCTGCTCCATGGCCTTGCGCCGAACGTGCAGAGAGCTGCGGCAGCCTACTTTGGATACTTTTCATGTTTTTGCCATGTTTTACGCCCGACCTCTGTAGCTGGTCACGGCGTTTCAGATGCACATCTCACGTCTTGTAGAGCTTTGCCTTTGACAAGCAACTGCCAAGGCCTCCAGCGCGGAGAAAGGAAACAGCCCCCGATACAACCTCGCGGCGCAAGCCAGCAGGAGAACCTAAACTGAACCTCTGAGCGGGAGTTCCACTTCCATGTTGTGGGTTTCAGGCAGGAATTCCCAAACCCACCCCTCTCCGCAAGGCACAGACTTCAGACCAGGAAGAAATGCAAATTAGCGACGGAGGCCGCGCCCATTGAGACCGCACTCTCACCATGCGACCCCACTCGGCGAAACTCCCGCGAAATCCAACCCCAAAAAGCGGCCTCGTGGCAAACTGAGGTCAAGGCCCAGCCACACCCTCCTGGCTAAGCTCGAGTCATTGCAAAATGTGCACACTAAGGCCAGATCTCCGTTGCCTCGGAAAGGACGCGCTTGAACAGCGCAACGAAAGAGACATCCTGAGCTCCATCAAAGGTTGCCAGGTGGCATGTGTACGAGGGGTGAGTCACCCGCAAGGGTTTCACCCAGACGCATCCGGCATACGCACTCTCCCTTTTTGCTTGCGGCAGCTGCGCCAGCTGTGCTCTCTCAGCTTCAGCTCTGCTTTCGCAGCGACTTTGGCAGCTCCCGGTCCTGACACGGATGCATATTCACGCACCTACGAGCCCCGCTTACCTCGAGGCCCGACGTGCCCCCTGGGGTCAGGGAAATCCCCAGCGCGCCTGGGCAACTTCGTCTGCCAGCAGTCCGCCCGGCATCGTCATCCTCCTTGCATCAAGGGGTGATGGATGCAAGCGCTACGTGCAACTGACGCAGGCCCCCTCGAATGCGCAGCCACTGCCTGATGATGTCTGCGCCCTCCCGAGCAAGCTCCTGCTAAGGAGGCTGCACAACAGCTGGTTTTAAGTCAGCGGGGCTCCCTCCCCAGACATGCAGAGTGTGCCCAGCAGGCGTTGTATCCACAGCTAGTTACACCCAGTCGTCGGCCGTTGATGGCAAGATCTCTGTGCAACAACACTGTCACGGTAACGGCGGCCGCAGCAGATCAACATATTGCTGCGAACTGCTGTTGCAGGTCGGGCAGAACCGATGCTGAAATCTGGCATTCGTTTATCTACTGGCCGATGGAGTCGGTGAGCGCTTTCAACGTGTGGCTCCACTGGCACGAGCATCTATCGCAGCGCTGCTAATCCTACAAAGACTGCCCGGTCTGCTCTCAAACCGCCATACCACAGTCAATCAGGAGCATTATGTCGTACCGCAACACTACACATGGATACGGTATGCCTTCTACATTACTGGAAGCCGTATGTCTTGTCTCACATGATGTCTTTGCTTCAAAATGTCTTCCTGGTACTGGTACCCTGGTAGCGAAGACAACTCTGTGCAGCGGTCCTGGGCCTCGCGCTCTGCCGAGGCCTCGGCGAGTAGCTGGGACTCCTCACCCTCCTTGCAGCTGAAAAAAAAGGCGGAGGTCATGGTCATTTCGGCTGCTTTTTTGGGTTCAGGGCTTGAGGGTAACGTGGGGGGCTCATGGGGTTTGAAGCCAGTACTCGTCTGTGGTGTGTTCGGGATTTGGGCATTAGGGTTTAGGGCTTCTGGCACAGAGGCTTTGGGATCGAAACGATGTAGAAATTGCTGTCCCGACCGGAGCACATGTCTGAGCACGACTTGCGGTCCCTGCCTTCGCCCAGCGCTTGAAGGCGTCCTAAGCGCCCGTGGCTGATGTCAAGAGGTTTAGGGCTCGCAGGGCTTAGGATTTTTGTCCCGCAGCGATTTTGTCTCCAAGAGGCCATGGCTTCCTTCTTCTCCTCCTCTTTTGCTGCCTCCTTTGCAGCTGCTGCGGCCTCCTTTGCGGCGGCCTTCTTGTCCTTGGCAGCCTCCTTCTCCTCGGACAGAATGGAGGCTACCAGCAGCGGCTAACGCTTAGAGAAATGGTCGGCTCTACGATTGTGACATGTCTGACAACATCAATGAAATTGAAAATACCCGAATCCCAAACCCAAAAACATATCCCACAAACACCATCTACAAGCCCTTGACGCAAAAAATCTGCACACGAAAATCCGGAGCCCACATACGCATGTCCGAAAAAACGTATCCAGAAATCCCAATGCCCGAAAACCAAATGAGAAGAACCACACCCAGAAATCTCCCAACCCGAAACGCAGATGCAGGAAGGAAAGGGATCCTCGGGGGGAAACTGGCTTAGTTGATTAACCGTTCCGTGGCCGATAAAAGCCTTGGCAAAAGCAGCGACGAAGACGGGAGTGGCGTTGGAGAAGAAAGACCAAGTTGTAAACCTTTTCGTACCCGTTGTATCCTTCTGGTATACATTTTCCGGAATCGATCGGCTTTTGCGGCTCCGGATTTCTGGGGCGTGGTTTTTCGGTTCCGGATTTTTGGATTCGGTTTTCTGGGGTTCCATGGGGTTCTAGATATGGAGCTCACAGTATCCACATTTCTGCGTCTGGTAGGCCGCTTTTGAAAAACCGGGCCGCCGACACGAGAAGGTCCCATAGTCTTTTTGTCGGGCAGGGTCTGAAGAGCTTCTTAAGCTAAGCTGAGCATCCAATGCATCACCGGCAGTCCACTTCGCAAACATGTCCTCCTTGTCCAGCTTGTCAGCCTTCAAGGAATCTGTCACTGAAACCGATAGGAGCACAACTTGCCAGTCTGAAACCAACAGCAAAACGCCCTAATCACATACCACCATTGAGCTGTGCCTTCTCCTTTTTGGCCTCGTCCTCCTCCTTCTTGTCCTTCACCTTGTTGTCGTCCTTCTTCGTCTCCTCCTCCTTCTCATCCTTTGCCTCTTTCTTGACCTCCTTCTTACCCTCCTCCTTTTTGGCCTCCTCTTTCTTGGCAGCGTCTTCGGACCTTTGTAGTCTGTCGCAGCCAGAATTGCGTGTGCACTGAAACCACTGGAGCACAGCGGATTGCAATTTGATGGCTGAGCGGCGCTTTCTTTGCTGCGTCCTGTTTGCGTGACAAGGTCATAAGGGTTTGGTATGCGAGATGTAAAACCCCTACGTATGGTCTAGCACTACCAAGGGCGAAAAAGCTCCAGACCATCACCCTACTCGCGCCGAGCGCCGAACCTCTTATGATGTTGTATTACGAGCCCCGGCGGCGGTTGCTACCAGAGTCGTCTGCGAGAACAATGCGTCTCCGGTATGCCAAACGACAACGTTTTGCCGAAATACCTGCAGTTTACAGGTGTGAAGCCTTGCAATCATGCGTAAGGAATTCGCAATGAGTCTGCACCAGTCACAAATTGCCAGGTTGATGCAATTGCTAGCTCCAAACCGAATGCAACACCAAAAACACAGGCCGACCCCTCTTGAAAATCAAGATGCTAGCGAACAGCTGCTTCCCGGCTAGTCTCACCATTGCCCAAAGCTCATCCAATTCATCACGCCCGAGAAGGCTGAGCAAAAAGTCCCTCTGCAAGTCGTGTCATCTGCTCCGATATCGTGCTGAATCACTGTACTACCTCAGCTCAACCGAAACAGTGTGAGTAGAGAACACACAATGATCAGACACAGGGCAAGGTAGTAACCCTGATAACACCCATGCTCGCTCCCTGGCAGCTGTCTTTCCATTTTGCGTCCCTCTCCCTGTGGCATATGTATCCGGGTGACACGAAAACATGCTAAGGACACTGCAGTTCGGCAGAATCTGCTACGCACTTCTTGTAAGTGTCATCGCAGCATTTCTCATAGACCTTCCTCGTGCTGGATTCACACGTGGCAACCATTGTCATACCGGTGTTGGCATTGCCGCTCTGACGTGTCTCGGTGCAGCGGCAACCGTTCTTGCTCTTGCACTTGCCTGCGAAGGAAATTTATGCAGACCAACTGCAGTTCAGTACCCTTACCAATGCAGGCCGCACAGATTGATTTACGTGCCTCGTGTCCCACACCGTCCTCAGCGGATATGCTATTCCGAAACTACAGCTTCCCCGAAATCCATGGCGAAACAGCAAATTCGCAGGGACCTATGGACGTGTCCTCGCTGCGGTAAGCATGGCTAAAGTCCGAACCTCCATGCATCTATCCTGCTCTATAGCTCTGTTGCTCCCAACGGTGCAAACACCCTCCCATGGTTCTTTCACCCAAAGATGCTCCCCGCATGTCGGCAGGTCAGGCGGGAGTTTTGCTGCATAACAGGAGTACAACTGACAGAAACTGACTCCAAGCTTCGTGGCTTCATGTCGCAAAAGCTACCTGAAAGCCACCAAGAACTCGTATGCTGTATGCACCAAGAGCCGCCTGCCTCGAACCACGTGCATGCTAAACAAGTCCGGCAACATTGCAATGGTTTGATCAAGCTGTCTTCCCAATGAAGCGCCGTTCTCCATCATGCCCCGAGGACATCTAAACTATCAAATTCGTAAGCATAAGCTCTTTATTCTTTGCATCGGACAGATCACCGACAACTTTTTGCAAGTCCAACCTCCATCTCCGTAGCCGTATTTGCCCCCCACCTCGGACCACAACACCGAGTTTGGGCTCAAGCACGGTCTACCCCTGGCTCTTCACATCAACCTCAGCACACCATGGACAAGACTCTCATCGCCGAGGTGCCTGTCTCCCCTGTGTGCCGCAGTATGCCCAGTCTGACGGTGCTTTTGTACAACTTTCGCAATTTTTGTAGCGGTAGTAGTGACCTCCGTTCACGGAATGCATGCTGTACTGTTCCCTTTCGTTATGCCCTGTCGTTCAAGTGACGAATGCAGCCCAAAGGCGATAGATGTAGGACCAACCATCTTCTACCCACCTCCCGGTCTTTTCCATTGTTCCGGGAGGACAGATCCCCGCGATGCTTGATGATTCAGCGTCGGCTTTCTTCATATCGTCGCTGTCAACACGGACCTTGTATTCATGTTCATGCCAAGCAAAGCGTAGCACATACATCATCTGCAAAAGGACACTGAAAGAATGGGTGCAAGTGAGAGGCTCCACCCACAAGACACGGAGCCAGGAACCAAAAAGCTCTGGCGAGCATCACCATGAGCACAGACGAACACTTGACAAACTGCTACTCTGCTAATCTGCTGATCTGTCAGGGCCGCAAACGCATCAACTCAAGACTTCCAAATCTCTCCTGCGGAAGCATGCAAGTTCACTTACTTTCGAAGCAGAAACCAATAATTAGCTGCCTGACATCGAAAACACGACATGTCTGGAAAAATCATCCTCATTACACTGCAGGCTGCACGTGTCATTCGATACCCCATGAAACGATGCGGCACGAAGATCACGTTGTCCAAAGGTTGCATCTGCAATCATACTTACAACTCAACACGTAAACAAAATGATGATCCGACTTGTCAACACTAGAAACTAGAAATGGAGACTTCTTGCAACATTCTCCTGGCCTTATCCACAGGTTCCACGCGAAACGTTTTACATGTTAACACTTCTGCCTGCGCGTTAGAACTGTTCGAAGATGATGAACCAAAACACACAAACCCTCATAATCATCCATCAACTCCCAACGACCATGCTGCCACCAATCCATCCAACTCAATCCTTTCCAGTCGAACCTGCCTCCACTGCACGCAAAAGCTCTTCGCAATAGAACAACACATGTAGAGTACGACTGCCAAGTCTGAAGCAAACGGAGCGAGTGAACCTTGGGTTTCAATTCAAAGCTTGCGGACAGACAAGTTGGAATGATGAATACACAGGTGCAAAACATCACAGACAGACGCCAGACCGGTGAGGTTTTTGAAACCGAACCGCAGCGACAATCCATCGGGCAAGGCCCCTGGGTATGTTCGCCTGTAATCCCTCCCCACCCTTGTAGCCTCATGCGAGAGTTTGAGCGGGCCTTGTCGCTCTTCTCCTTCTCTGGCTTCGGCTCCTTCGGCTCCGGCTCCTTCAGAGTCTGTGTTTAGGGTTTCGGGTCCATCCCTACTGTCCCTGCTCCCTCCGCAAGGCCTCTTTGGAGCCACCGCCCTTGGCCAGCCGCTCGGCCTTGTCCTTGAAAAATGATACTTGAGAGCTGGAGAGAGTAGACCCTAAGCCCTGTCGAAGCTCCCCGCCTGTGCAGCTTCCTCCGCCAGCTTGGACGCCTGACACCGCTGCATCACAGCATCCCCTCCTTGACCCCTTCATGGGAGCACCCCTGCTTGGCCTTCTTCTGGGCCTCCTTGCGAGCCACTTGCTCCGCAGCCTCCTTGGCAGCGGCCACAGCACGGGCCTCCGGCACAGTTCGTCACTCGGGCCTACTCCACTTCAACTACTACTGCTACAGCTGCTACTACTCCTACTACTCCTACGCCTACTCCTATTCTACTCCTCCTCCGACTCCTCCTACTCCTACTCCTACTCCTACTCCTACTCCTACTCCTACTCCTGCTCCTCTTCGTCCTCCTCCTCCTCCTCCTTCCACTCCTGCTCCTGCTCCTGCTCCTGCCACTGCCACTGCCACTGCCACAGAACTACTACTACTACTACTACTACCACTACTACCACTACTACTACTACTACTACTACTACTACTACTACTACTACTACTACTACTACTACTACTACTACAACTCCTACACTCCTACACTCCTACACTCCTACACTCCTACACTCCTACACTCCTACACTCCTACACTCCTACACTCCTGCACTCCTGCACTCCTACTGCACTCCTACTGCACTCCTCCTGCACTCCTACACTCCTACACTCCTACACTCCTATACTCCTATACTCCTACACTCCTACTCCTGCTGTTACTGCTGCCACTACTGTCCGATAGAGCCTTTGCCGTCTGCTCGGCCACCTCCTCCGCATGGTCCTTTGCACCAGCCGCCCAAAGGCACCAGCAGAGTGAGACATGCGATAAAAACACACGAAACACTGTTCATGGCAAAAAGTGCACGAGAGATCAGGTGATATGCTAGCGGCCAGCGCTCTTGAACGCTCTTTTCGATACACGCTGGAAAGCGCAAGATCGCCAAAGCCTCGTATCTTGGATACGGCATTGCTTTGCTCGTGCTCTGCACGAAAACAGGTCCTTCCTATACCATCCTACATATCAGATTCGCATCAACACAAAGCCTTGGTGCTTCTGGCTTGAGGGTCTGGGCCTATGTCTCGTAGAAACCGCCGAAAGTGGGCCATGCCTTTTGCTTGGCAAATTGGCTTCCCACCTTCCCTGTAGTCCATGTTTCGCGGTAGTTCCCCAAGTGGAACGGGGCCCAGCGTATGGAGCCCTCCCGCACACGGATGCCACCTCCATCCTCGGGGATATGGGGAGTCCTGAACTTGGCCTGCTGCTCCGAGGGGTGGCAGAACTCGACCTCTGCGTTTGACTTGTAGAACTCCGTTCCTGGTCGACTCACGTGAATCCAGTGGTCACTGGCGGTCCTGCTCAGGGACTTTCGCATCTGGTCCTTTTTCCACTCGCCGTAGGCCTGCGTAGTCAAATTTGAGAAAGTATGCGTCCCAGGACCCGGTAGCTGGTGCGCTTTCATGATCCGGGTTTGCTGCATTGCAGGCTCCATCTCTTTCTCCGTCCAGTTGTCTGCTCCAAGACATGGAAAAGAATAGATCGAGACGGGGTGGTTGTTCTTCCGGCAGGAGTTCTTCGGCATCTGCAGAGGGAAGACGCGGCGGGCGGGCCACCTGCAAACCTTTCCCTTGTCCCTCTTCCTGAACGGCCGTGCGAGCCGTCCGGACGCTCGAAAGCCCCAGAGCTTGAGCTGACAAGCTGCGGACACGCGTGCAAACCCGACGAAGACTGCCACACCAGGCAATGGAGGTCCAAACAGGTCTGGAGCCTAGACTCTAGATGATGTCCCCCCACAGAGCAGGCGTAGCTCCTTGACACCAGCGGCAGCTTTGGCAATGGCCGCAGCCTTTGCCACCTCGCTCGCCGCATCCTTGGCCGCCTCGAAAGCCTTTCTCTTTCGCGTCATCAGAAAACTGCATCGCTGCATGTCTCGTCGCGCGCGCGCGCCCCCGCGCCTCCTTGGAGGCCTGGGTCAGGGCATCCCTCTTTGCATCGGCCATGGCGGCGGCCTGCGAGAGAGCGAGGATGAGCGAGGGCGCAGGCTGCAGGCTGTGGTGGGGGCCGCAGTTTCACGGCGTGGCCTTGGCGTTGCGCAGCGCGAAGTTGGCCGCCTGTCGGAAGGCCTTCTCCAGAGCCTCCCGGTTCGGTCCGAGCAGCGCTCAAAAGGACATAAGATGCTCGGGTCGGGTCGGGTTTCTGAAGGCATCCGGGAGGCGTAGGCAGCAGTGGCCGCAGCAGCCTGGACTGGGGGATGACAGGACTTTCCCAAGGCAGACTCCCAAGGGGTCACTGTCATCACTGCACACCATAATGGAAGACAACATCTCGCCCCGGCCTGAGCGTCCGGGGTCCTCAGGGGACCTTCTGGTGATGCACAGGCAGTGGCATAGGCCGACCCCTGGGCGTAGCCCTCTGCCGAACGGGTCTTTGTGCTGGTCCTCCCAGGTCACACGAAATCATTAAACCCGGAGTTGAGGCCTGAAGACTCTGCCAAACGATTTCATCCGACCTATAGAATGATGCTTGCAAGGCCGGCAAGGCCAGGCCTGTCACTGTCGCTCTTCTGCCTCACTGTTCATGCGACAATAGTCGATTGAAGGTATCCCAATCCCTACACACCAAGAAGGGATAGTAAACCACAAGCTGAGACCACGCCAGAATTCTCCTGAAAACGCCGCTGCGGCGATGCAAAAGCTGTGCGCTAAACCCAGGACTCCCGGCACGAATCAGTAGTCCTCTGCAATCAGCAACTGACAATATGACTTTGAACCTTGCGACAAGGCCCCTGTCATCCCAAATCGACTGCTTTCCCTCTCCTGATGGCCGACTGCGTGTAGGGCACGTTGATGTCCGCCGTCGCCTCGCCCGTCACCACGGCGCTTGCCGTCGCGGATCGCGTCGCGGTGGCCTGCTTTCGAATGTTCTACCTGTCTTGCGATATGCTCAACAGTCTTATTTGGTATCCAAGAGCTGTTGTTTAGATTTCCTGGATGTGCATTAGCACGAGACGTCACGACTGCCAGCTTCGCAAATGACAAGATCATGCCTAAGTGTCCTTTGGCAAATGCCGTATGCAGAATCGAATCGGCAGTGTGCAACTCTGACGCCGCCGAGCTCTCGACCTTCTGAGTTCGATTGCCTGACTCCACAAGGAGACAGCTCAACTTCACGGAAAAAACGCAAGTGTGACGAGTCTCACAGTGAGTGCCCAGCCGCACGAAAGCTGCACGTGAAGTAACTAATAACACGGAGGACACCCATGGACACCCCACACCGTCCCACACGGCCCCTCCCTCTGAGTCCCAGCTGTTCGGGATCTCCGCGGTGGCGCTCTCCGTGGCCTGCGAGTCTGCTCCGGGCTCAGGCTCAGGATCTCCTAAACCCACTAAAATCACCACTCACTACCCCAAGAGTCTACAGTAGTACAGTAGACGTAGCCGCTAAGTAGCCGAAGGAGAGGGGGAGGGATTCACAGAGCTCAACAGCACAAAGAATGCCTGGGTTTTCGGACGTGTTGGTTTTTATGGCTTGAGCTTGAGACGGATCCGTCTCTTCGTGCACGACTGACTTCGGCTGTCTGCAACACTCAATGGCATTTCGGCACATGAGCTGCTCGAGATCACACCTGCATGTTCCCATGCCTCCTCCTCAACGCTCTTCTGCGAGACCGTGGCAGTCTCCTGGCCCAAGGCATTAGGCTTCGATTTTTTGGGCTCTGGGAGTGCACAGTGACAGAATCAAGGCTTTCATCACCATCCCCCTCTTACGAGAAAACATTGATGCTAGGACTACGGACTCCGGTTGTGCATGGCTGTCTTTACTGCATCCCCCAAGCGCTCTTCAGGAAAGCAGGCAAAAGAGGAATGCTAGGCTCGCAGCCACTAGACACTAGAGCTTGGGATGCTTGACTTGGGTCGCGAAGGCATGGAGTGTTGTTGACCGCCGTGGACCCGTGAGACAAGAGGACACTATCTTGGGCGAGGCCAGGAAGAAACCGATTCGGACTCGGCCTCGTGCCGAAAACCCTTGCAAGCACTGCGCCACGCGCAGCTACAATTATTCACCCTCTGGATTCGATCGATTAGGCAACAAGGCAGATTCAGTTTTTACTTAGCCGATATACGGTAAGGCAAGGACACCCGTGATGAAAGTGACTCGGTGCTGCTTCAAACTTCAGTAAAAATACCGGACACTCCTCGGGCCAACTCTAGAATTCTAGAAGACAACAGCCTTGGCCGTAGCATGTGCGTTCTTGGTGCTGATGGCTTTCACGGTGACGTTTTTGGTGACTGACATCCTGGCACTCTTCAAGCGTATCCTCCAGGACATGGACTCATCCCCTACGCCGAGGCCCCAGCGTGGCTTTGGCTTGCGGCACCGTAACTTTCACCGTCGTGCACGCTTGCCCGGAGACTGCGAAGACACGCTGGCACATCTGGCGGCCTTGGGGACAAGCTGAGAACTCCTAAAGCTTTGCCTGTTGCTGGACCGGACCGTACTCTGCCTGTGATACGCCTGCACACATCTTCGAGCTGCGTCGAGCAACGATGGGAAGGAGGTGCGGCTGCGCGCTGACAAAAACAAACAAAGCTGCCGTGCAGGTTTCAGGAAAGTCACCCAGCTGGCAGCCGTCATTCGCAGCACAGTCCAGGCAGGTGGCCTGCACAACCATTTTGAAGCGGCAATTGCATGCTTTCGTGAAGCAGCCAACAATGGCATCAAGTTGAGTTCAGTCTTCGTGCAGAAATCCAACTCACAGGTAAACAGCAAGCGGCCTTCTTCATCGCTTCCCGGTCCACTTTGCCGTTAAACTCTGCTGGAAGTTTGCACGTCAGGCCGTCCTGCGACAGACGAGAAAGAGAAAGCTGCGCCAAGCTGGGAGGGTCGTCTTCGAAAGCTGGTTCCCTGACTAGGAGTAGGCCTCATCGAACCTTTGTGGTGATGCTTTGTCTTTTAGTTGTGTGCAAGGCGATCCTGGCATGTCAGTGGCCAATCTTCTGGTGCAAAACCACCACAGGCAACACCTTTCGTGAGCTGGGGTACACCTTGGCAGCAAAGCTGAGGGAGCAATGTGGAACTCTCGCACTGCAAGACCAGAAGAATCATTGCCTCATGAAGCCAAGATGCATTTCAGCGCGATGCTGTCCCAGAATGTGCCGAAGCCGCAGATGCACTCATCAAGAGCCTCGCAGGGAAACCCAAAGGATCCAGGTCTGGACTGGACAGAGTCCCCCGATACTGCAGGACTTGGATGTGGAAATCTGGCCTGGACCACCACGCCGGACTTGTTCACAAGCTCCACATGCGGGCGTGAGAGGCCGTCTGCCTTGTCTCCGAAAGGGGCGATGGCTTCCTGAGAGACGGCGCAGCTCCCGGGCCCGTGGAACCAAGGATTCTCTTTCTCTCGCTTTCGCTCCGTGCTGTTCAAGAGGCCACGTCCCGCAGCTTTTCAGGCTCATCGCCAGCGCGGCGAACTAGAACAGCCTCCACCCTGAGTCCCAGCAGTGCCTCACAAAGGACAGCACGAATGCCATCACAACTATCGAGCAAGAGTTTGCTGACCAGCCACGAAGCTCCAGGCACACAAGGTCATCATGACCGCTCCCTGCATTGCTGACCTTGGCAACAATGCAAAACCTGTGTGAGAATAGCTTGGCCATGTCATATCTTCTGCACCCGCACATGGCATCAGATCCTGCGCTTTCAAAATGTTTCAACCGACGGAGGCTGCACGACAGGCGCTCGGGAGCCGACAGAATTCAAGAGGCTCAGCCCCGTAAGGAGTCGTCTGAGCCACTTAAATGTCTTCGGTCGCACAGGCATTGCTCGGGATAAGGTTTCATGGGATTTTACTAGGGACGGGGCATGAATGTGGGCTCCGACACCCTCCGAGAGCGATGTAGCTTCACACCCGTTCCAAAGCAGCTTTCGCAGCAGGGGCCCCCACACTGGATGTGGCCAACTTCACCTTCTCAGGCTGGATGTTCTGCTGGTAGTACGACGATGACGATGATGATGACGACGAAGGAAGCGGATGAAGATGAGAATGAGGAGGAGGATGATGGTGATGATGATGATGTTAAGCATATTTTCACAGGGTGGTAACTTTAAGAAACAGCTGCTACCAAAGTACGTGGTATCAACAAAAAGTTAGTATATTCGCAATAGTTAGAGTAATAGTAATCATAAGCCATAGTAACAGTAATGGTAATAACACGTAGCACCGACTGTGTTTCTTGTTTTGCCATACCCTCAAATCTCACTATGGCAATCATGGCTTATATCCTTTATATCGACTGCTGTAGCCACAGTGCCTGTTGCGGCCAGACTGCCCTAGTGTAACCATTGCGACTGTTGTGACGATCAAGACTGCAGTTACGAATTCAGATTATGACTCTCATGACTATAAAACGCTGAATTTGCTACGATTGCTACACTTACAATGGCAACTCCTGCTACAACAATTGCTGTTGCTGCTTCTGGTGCTGCTGCTGCTTCTGGTCTGCTGCTCCTACTAGTCCTGCTATATGGGCATTTCAATGGATCTCCGAAGCCTTCTGGTGAGGCCTAGTTGCAACTGAATTCGCCAAGTCTCGCTCCTGTCTGTTGGTGGTTCGTAGCATTTCTTGCAGGAGGCACCGCTGTCGTGATTTTTGGGCCGTCTGATTTGTTTCCGGACACAGTCACACGCGGAGCTTTCGCTGCCTTTTTGCAGGGTCATAACTCACAACCTTTAGGACGATTATGACTACATTGACTACATTGCAGGCTATGGATACTGCTTCTATCCTTGCACGACTACCACTATTAGTCGGAGTACTGTTCCCTGGACCACTGCCTCATCCCCATAGTGTGTCTCGCTTTCGGTGCCAGTATATTCATGATAAGGTGGATTTACGATTGTTCTTGTTGTAGTGAAGCTACTCTTCGCTGAATGATCACTGCTAAGCCGCTAGGCTATAACTCGATGACTGGTCCCTGCAACCATGCCTTAAGCGTGTCGAAAGGGAAGGACGCACACCGGCCCACGAGCCTCAGCGTTGAACCATTGGGGCGTAAGGCTTGCGCTCTTCAGTTTAAGGGTCATGGCCTTCTACAGGGTTGGGGACTGAACCAGCTTTCGAACGATTCCCATCGAAGCATGGTCTTGCGCATGTGAGCTGGACAAAGACGCGATTCTCAGCCCGACGCCCTCCCAGACCCCCGGTGATCCCTTCGGCAAGCAGCTCCCGACCATGCATGGCGGGAGTGGACAGCAATTTCTCTAGTTGCAATATGTTACAACAGATGCCAGAACAGATTTTAGTTGTACGATGAGTTTGCCGCAAACAGATTCTATGGCCTCGTTACTGCGACAGCCACATTGCCAGCCAAACATCTACATGTGGCAAGTTGGTGCCCCCGCTGCCAAGATGATGTACAGGGGCCAAGACTGTCCCATGGTTGCTTAAGCGCAAGATCTTGGAGCACGAAAAGCTTCGGTCTTGGGGGAATCTTGGGTCGCCTACCAGGAACCACAGAAGCTGCTCCACGAGGCGTGCCGTGAAATGTTTTGCGCCCGAGCATTGCAGCAGCACCATGCCAGATCCAAGTGCTGAGGTACCATAGGTCGAGGCACAACCTGTGCCTCGGCTGAGGCCTGACATCCTGTCATCTCAAGGAGGCCCAAAATCCTGCCCTTTCATGAGTCCGCACCACTCCAGATCTTCTTCTTCGGCTTTGACATCTGCTTTCTTACCCTTTCACCCAGGCATGGTCCAGTAATCGAACTGGAGCGTGTTTGCCCTTCAGCTCGCTGCCGTTTCGTGAAGAAATCACCCTGATAACGTCACCCTCCTGTTCAAATGCGAGGATCCCGTGGATCGGTGAATGTGAGTGAGAGCCTCCGGCTCTTTCCATGTAGTGCCCCCTGTCAGGCCTCCGCTGTGCCGCGGAGAAAGCCGCCAGCTTCTCCTTCATCCTGTCATCTCCGTCATCTCCCTTACCAGCCTTGCCCTTGGTGGCCTTAGTGCCCTTAGTGTCCTTGCCCTTGCCTGCCGCGCTCTGCTTGGGGAGAGGCAGCTTTTTCACCAGCTTCCCCGCGGGCTGCTTCGAGGCCTCCTTCGGACCCTTCTCGGCTCGATCAGTGTTGGGCTTCTGGCCTTCAGCTCTGAACCGCTCAAGGAAGCTACGGCGGTCTGGACGTGCTCGATGTTCCCGTAGGCCGCAACTGCGGTGCCACCCTTCATGATATCTGTGCAAGTAGGCTTTGAAACGGATGCGAAGTGCCTTCATACGTCTTTCCAGGTCGTGCCCTCTGCAAGACCTCCAACCCAAACCTTTAGCGAAGAGTCAGTTCCCCGTAGCTTCTGTGCAAACTTGGACAATTGCTTCTTGAGCTGTCCCTGCCTGCCCCTCTTGACCCTGCCAGCCTTGCTGGCACCTTCCTCAAGCACATCGGCGAGGTTGGCATTCGCGGGGACGAAAACCCATGCGCCTCCGGGGCCCGGTGAGGTCCGGTGGCCTTGAGGCAACCCAGCGGCTATACGGCCCCTGCAGGCTCTTTCAAGGGAGAAATGTTGCGTAGCTTCCGCCGCTCCGCCATCGCGCCAGTGCCAGCGCCAGCCGGGCCAGGGCCGGGCTTGCCGAGCGGGACGAGGTCCTTGCACTAACCGAATTGGGGAACACCGCTGACACAACGATAATGATATCACTGAAAACCCCCCGTTTCCAACTGAATTTCTAATCACGCTTTAAGAGGACGCACCCGGAAGCTGTCTCTGGTCATTGCAGCCGAATGCACAAAGGCCACGGAGTCGTCGCTGCTCCCTTCTGTTAACCACAGAGTGGGCATCTCACCGTTTCGTACCTCGTGCATGCGAACTCAGAGAAATTAATTTCGGCCAATGTCTTCAGCATTTTCTTGCTGCAGCCAACCGATGTGCCGTCAAGGTGCAGCGACATGCAGTCCCTTCTCGTTCAACAGCTCACCTCCGTGTGCGCACTTAGCGGCTCTTCGCTTTGCTGCACTTGCCAGCAAACTGGCATCTGTCATGTCACCCTTGTCCCAATTCCCCTAGTTTCGCGAATCCACATGAGTTTTTATAAAGTTAGTTTATGTTATTACGTAAATTTAAGTAACCCTGCAGCTGCAGTGCGCTAGCTGCTAGCCGCTTCGATTGCAATCAGGTCTGTGACGGCCTCCGGGTCCCGTGGACCAGCGAAGTCTCTGCGCCGCCTTTGCCAGCGTCAGCTCCCCCGCCTCGCTGGCCCTCGAAGGCAGCGACAAGTAGGGATTGAGGAGTTGGCTGTTGGCTTGTTGTGGGTGGACAGTGGACATGCGGATTGTGCAGCCGCAAGGCGAAACGGCCAGACCGCCAGATAAGTGGATGAGCTCCCCGGTCCTCGGACAAGTTGCCGAGTAACGCAAACAATACATGCTGCCTGGATGGGTTTCCTCAGCTCGCAGCACATCAAGGAAAAAGAGGAGAAGCGGACGCTCGCGCTTGGAACTGGACAGGGTCAAATGAGCCTTTGCATGCAACATCATGCAACAGAACAGACTCATAGTCTCACATAGCACCGTGTGTGCGAATCTTCGGCAGCATGGCTTAAGCAGCTCTGGGAGCCTCCACATCGGCAGCCTGCCGGCGCCAATCAACCGAACACGGCCCAACACAAACACCATGTGTGACCCTGGACCCTACTCGGCCGTGACCTGCTGGAACAGTCCGTCTGAATTGCTTTGACCGATGAGACACTGACCCGTTTAAAGTCACGACGTCCGGGGTACTTGTAAATCAAGGGAAGGACTCAACGAGCCCCATGGTATAATTCTACGAAGTTCTACGGCAGGAGACAGTCTAAGAACCCTTTGGAGATTGAGGTTCCCCATGTTGTAAGCTTTACAAGTCCGTCGGCGCAGGATGAAAGGGCTGCAAGGCTCGGAGCCTTGTGGGAGTGGGTGCAGTCTGCCACTACTCACTACTCCTTTGCGTAACTTCCGGCGGGGGCGCACTCCGTCCCTAAATCATGAGCCTGATACATGATGCTGGAGTGAACAGAATTCTCAGGATCCTATGTCAGTGTAGGCATATGGCATGGGCATCGCGCCATGAGGGCATGGGCTGGGTTAGATCCCTGCTCAGGACGACCGTGATGAGTGAGATCAGGAAGTTCTGCAATTTGGCAATTCGCTCTGCTTGGAGCTGAGTCACTGCAACACTCCAGAAGTCTGCATGAGATTCAAGTGGCCTCCCAAGTCCAGGGTGCGAGACATGTAGGACCCTTGACATGACATAGGCATCTTGACAATGACCTTTCCTGGTTGTGGCCGCTGTGCCCAGATTCGCCCGCCAGTACCGTGGCCGAGGCTCCCGGGAAGCCACAAAGACGAATCTCAGGCCTGAGACCGCTGAGACCCGGAGGCCCTCAGAAGGACAGCTGAGCTGGTCGAAGCACTCAGCTCTGCGCGCCATGCTGAAGAATCATGCAGAAGTGATCCGGGCACGGGAGGAATTCCAGACAGCTCCGTCACAGCCTCAGGCACTGGCCAGCTCCACTCATAACATAAAGGAAGCCGACCGCACATTGAGCTGAGAAGCACAATGGCCCTGTGTCCAGGAAGCGGGCGCCAGGGCTTCAAGGGCAGCTTGGTGGCTGCACAGAACCAGCGTTTCGGTCGCGGGCACCGCTGAGACGCTTGAAACTAAGCCTCCGGCTGGCCGAAATGTGGGCAGAGCAAAGGAGAGACGGAAGTGACAACAGTGATCTTCGGCCTGCGTAAGTCTCTCTGTACCGCCGCACGGCCATTTCCCACGTCTCCTGAATTGCAGGACGGATCCATTCTTTTCTTCTGCGTGCGTGGGACAAGGAGGCAGCCGTCCTCCCCTGGCGGTTCAGCCGAAACAGGGCCCAGCACCTCCAGGCCCAGCTCCGGCAGCGTTGCCTCGCAAGAGCACAGTCACGAGACCCTCGACCCTTCTTCTTCCTCCTTTCGCCAGCGCGCCTGCACTGGCACTGGCCGACTCGTTTGGCTCCAATCGGCCAGCCCCGGCTCCACGTAGAGCGCAGCCTGCCCCCTCCCACGCCCCAACTCAAAGTGCAAAACTTCTGCTTCTCGTCCGCCTGCAGCGCTTCAGCGATGGGCCTTGCCGTCTGCAAGCAGCGACGGGCTGGGGAGGAGACCACCGCCACACTCAGAGGCCTGAAAAGCGGGACGCACATCGCGGCACTAGTGTGCCGTGATCTCGTCTGAGCACGGAACCCTATCAATGTCTTCAGAGCGGCCGCCGTGCAACGCGCCTGCAGAAAGAGTGTGCCTTGGAGGTTTCGCTGGTGCAGACGCTCGGCCGACAGCAGAGGCCTGGAACAGTCCGGCAACGGTAAGCGGAGCATCTGGAAATCCTTGCCATTAACAAAGCTGCAGCAAGTTGCAGCCGAAAGCTTTCTGGAGACCCCAGCCATCATCTGGTGGAGGAGGTAGCCCCGGACCATCTGAGCGCTCGCCGTGGCCTCGACAACATGGAGCCTTGAACTTTCCGGAGGTCGGGACCTTGAACCCCAGGTTTCCGAAGCTGCATAACCACGCTTCAACTCCAATGAAACCGCTTCGAAGCTGCCCAGCTGCGGACGATGAAAATACGACGGGACATCAGCAGCAGCTGGAGCCAAGCCGCTAACAAAAATTCCAAACAATGGTTGAACTTGACCTGCGGCCGTGCGCAGAAAGGTGCACTCGTCTGCTTGTCGGGATCTTTGGACGAGCTTCGCTCTGACAAGTGCTCCAGTGCGGCTCGAACCCCATGGGCAGTGATCGCTTGGTTGGCGCCTTCCTTCACTCATTGGATGGCAGCACATTTCTACGGCTTGAAAATTTCTGGCTCCTGTAGCTTCAAATTTCTTCAAAACAGGATCAAACACGGGAGCTCAATGGCACTGGCAGCCAGCATGGCATCAGTCTGACATCTGGCGGCAAGCTGCGGCTACTGTGTCACTTGGGGCCTGTGCGGCTCATATCAGACCTGTATCTTGACTGGTGCCGTGCAGGGCCAATTAAGTGCCGGAGTCCACTTGCAACAATTCTGCGAGCAGGCATGACTGCAGCTGAGGATTTTGTCGCGAGCCTAGTTCTGTACTTTTTACTGGGGCGTCTTTGCATCATTTATCCACTGTTTCTCTCACTGCTGATGAACCCTCCAGCCATAGTATTGTGTATGGTTTGCGTCCACATCTTATTAATTACACACTTCGGGTGCGTGCGGCCGCGTCCGAAAGCGCGATTTGTTGCGAAGGCCAGTAAAGTATTTTCGCGTCATTTTGGTCTGAAAAGTCGAGTGCATCGTGTACATGGGGGAAGCATTGTGGTCATAGTGTCATGAGAATGCTTGAACTCACGTGACAAGTCGTTGAAGCTTTGCGGCAAGTGTATTGTCAAACGCTGAAGCCCGCTGGTGCATGTGGGGAGAGCGAATGGTAAGGGCGTTACCTGGAAGGCTTGCATGTGGGAGGGATTGTCGCATGATGCCTGAAAACACTGGAAACTCGGTCTTGAACCAGCCCTCCCTGGACTATCACAGTAGATCCCGTCGCGCCTCGAACCCGCCCCTTCCCTCCACATGCCAAGTTCGAGCACCGATCTAGCTTGCAGAAGCCAAGACTGTGCCCAGCCATCGAGCCTTCACAATCCAATGAAACCGTTTTCAAGCTTCCCAGAAAATGAAAATACGACGGCACATGGGCAGCGGCTGGAGCCAAGCTGCTCATACGATAAAACCCTGCGGCCGCGTGGAGTAAGGTGCACTCGTCTGATCTTTTGACGAGCTTCACGCTGACAACCGTGCGGCTAGCGCCCCTTGGGGTGCAGCAGCCGTGTCAGAAGCCAAAAGACTTGGAGTGACGCTCGGGTGGCGCCTTCCTTAAGTCTTTTGGGGCTCAGTGAGCGACGGCACATCCAAAGATGAGTTCGTTTTGAATCTCACTCTTTGGACGGCCAGCACATCTAGGGAATCTACGGCTGTAACAAAAACATTCTGGCTCCTGTAGCTTCAAAACACGGGAGCTCAATGGCACTGGCAGCCAGCAGTTTGCTTTGGCATCAGTCTGACATCTGGCGGCAAGCTGCGGCTACTGTGTCACTTGGGGCCTGTGCGGCTCATATCAGACCTGTATCTTGACTGGTGCCGTGCAGGGCCAATTAAGTGCCGGAGTCCACTTGCAACAATTCTGCGAGCAGGCATGACTGCATCTGCGGCGAGGGAAGTTTGCATCACAACATGCACAACTCCTCCCACTGCACAGCCACTATACAATGCCGTGAGCCCACAGGATTTGTGGAAATCTTCTGAGATTTCCTTCAGGGCAGAACGATGCTGGGCTGGTCGACGGCTTCCATCGAGCCGTGGACCTGCTGGTGATACGCCAGACCTTGCGTTCTGCAAGACTGGCATGGAAGAAACTTCCGAGCCACAAGCATCCTGCACCCTCCCCTTTTGGCCAGGCAGCAGGTGAAGTTCGTCAGCGGAGTACTCGCACCGATGTGACGTCTCCAGATCTCGCAACGGCCCAGACCTGCAGATGAAAAAGAGCCTCCGTCTTCACCAGCGACACGGAGCTATACGGCTATTCCCCAGTGTAGGCTTCATCATATCTGATGCGGCGCTGTCACGGTGCAGCTATGACATCACTTTCACAACTCCATGGCCCCGACTGAATTCGATTCCGTGGCAGACCAGCGCTGCAGAACAAGCGGCCTCGCATTCCTGGCAGGTGCGGTGCACCCCACAAGCGTAGAAAAGGCCGACGTGATGCGCGCAGTGGGACCGGGGCCCGGACCTCTAAGGTCTCAGCCACGACCACATCATAAAAGCTCTGGCTGTTCTCGGTCGGAAAATCTCCTCGACAGGCTCGCCCAAATCCACCATCCACCTCGGAATTTTGGTACACGACAAAGCATGAAGTACGTCTTTGACGAGCCTTTCTTCGATTGCTCATGTCGATGCTAGCAATGTCAAGCCAGCAGCTGGTAGCAAGCGTTGCGTCGACCAGCCAAAGCGCATGCAGGTAAAATTGCTGATGTTCAACTCGGCCCAAGCAAAAATCCCGTTGGGCCGTGTCCAGATCTCGCAGCGCCCGTAGCTGAACTCGATGCCTGTCAGCATCTGTCAAGAATGGCATAGCACTATAGTCGCACTCAAAGACCCCAGTCTGAGAAAAAATCATGTTACACAATGTTCGCCAGGCGGAGGATCAAACAAGCAAGCCAGCCTTTGCAACTCGGGAGCTGCTCCACACACTTCGACTGGCAAGCCTTGGGCGACATGTGGCATGACATCTGCAGGGTGACGCAACCACGCCGTCCCGGTGGCCTCCAGCTCCGTGATGCCATCATGCACCTCGTAGTAAGTGTCGGAGTTGTCGTTGCGGTTCCTTGCCACTGAAGCTACCGTTGAAGACGAAGAATGGAGAAACGTTCGTGAGCACTTCCGACCATAGCGTTGTGGTTCACAGTCCGCTGGGCACTCCCTAAGTTAATCTGCCAAGATGCAGGTGCTCTCGTAGAAATAAACATCCTACTAGTATGTGCACACTATGATAGCCTTTACCACTTTACCCTTCGCATCAGAATTCAATCCCCGCCTGCCCCGACAGGCGGACTTCCCAGGATCGCCGACATGCTCCCAGACAGCAGCAGTCGGTGCAGTTGTGGATGTGCTGGAGGGCTCCTCTTCACATCAGTTGCATGGCCACTTCGACCGGTTGTGTGGTCCACTCCAGTGCTGTTTTGCTGGCCACGTCAGGTGGTCTGAGGGGCGGGGCCCAACCTTCAACAGCTAGCTTGTTGGCGGACAGGGGCAACGGCGAAGCTACAGTGCGGCTGCAGCACATCCGATTCCTCTAGTCCCACGCACCGCTGTCTTTGTTTTGTTGCCTTGTAACTCGGAGCGCATGGTTGGCAAGCAACAGGAAATGAAAGCACGGCACACTGTGAAGAAACGGTAGGCAAGCCAACTGTGCTCTTGGGAGGGGGTCATGTGGAGGATCATTCATAATCTGCTTCCTGGGCCTCGCAATCCATACTCACTTCGACTGCTCCCACAAACGGCCTGCCCTGGACTGCGCCCCCAGGTGCAACCTTAAAGATTGCAACCTGGTCAAAGGCCCTGTCCTGGGTCGATGGTGCACCTGTCACATCGAGACTGCGTCTGTGCTGAAGCACTACATGAAGAAACAACCTTTCAGATTCCCATCCATCTGCCATGCTGGTACCTCCAGAAGCCATCTTTTCACACGTTTTGCAGAGCGTCCGATCATCCGGATAGACATCTTGGCTGCAAGAAGCCGGTAAGCGAAGGGGTGCACAATGGGTGGGAAGGCAGTTGGGCATTGTCATTGTGGAAAGGCAGGCATCATTGAGATGAAGCCTCAAATCTGAGGAGGAGACGGGGCTTCGGGGTATTAAAGGTTCTGTTGCCAACCATCAGACTAGCAGACACTGAGAACACACGCACATCTGCAACCATCCTTCGATACCAAGGGCCGAGCTTTGACTCGTTTCAAGATGTGGGTAGTCCGCTGCGCGGTAAGCTGTGCCACAATCATCCAAAGACCCGCTACCCCTGCCAGCTGAGTAGGTTGGACTTCCCTGTCGCGACTTCTGCAGGCGATTGACAAAGTACAAAACTGCCAAAGCCCATGCGCATGACGCATCAAAACTTCTCAAGACTGAAAATATACAATCTGCAAGCAGGTGACTTAGAGACTGTCGTCGGCACAGGTCCGACATGTAGATGACTTCACCTTGTCACTACAAGTCACAACATCGGAATCCATGAATGCAGGCATGAAGAACAGGAAAAACACACACTCAGATATCCGTCACGGCACTTGCAGCATACGACTGGCCCAGTTGGTCGCAATTGGTCACTCCACACAGCGGCACGGCACTGGAGAGCTCATAGCCCTCCGGGCAGCTTAGCTCGTCCTTGCAACCTCTGGCAGGGAACTTCTCTGCGTTCTTCGGAATCCAAGTCCAGGCTTCTGGCAATTCGAGTTGAGGGAGGATGGGCAGTCTGCACCACTTTCGTGACAAACGCTGCCCTGAGCTTCAGAACATGCCAAACGACCCACGGGCAAAGGATGCATCGACTGCCAGAAGAGAAACTAAGCTAAGACTGAGATCGCTGCAGAAGCCGTCGGTGCAGTGATTTCTGGCACCGGCTCTGAACCCACGCACTCGCAGCATTCATATCTGCCAGGGACACCGAACTTGCCAACTTCAACTCATGCACGCAAGAAGGTACGCGTGAGCCCTGCTGCTTTCGCAGATTTTGCCCTACACGCTATGCACCTCGTATCAACATCTCCAGGCCAATCCTCACAGTGACCGTTCCACTCCGAAGGCCTGAAGTTGGCACCTGCACAGCAAACGCAGCGCTGGGAGTCACCAAGGTGAGGAAACAGCCCTGCCTAGATCCGTGCAGAGCTTCTCGCTTGCCTCGCATCCGAGACTCTGGCACTCCTCGGGTCGCTGGGTCGAAGGCGGAAAGCTGATGGCTTCGCACACTCGGACGTCTAGCATGTCATTGTGCCAATAGGTAACATCAACCAAAACTATTTAGATGACCCTATCTTCAGCGACCCTGCCCTGCAGACACATGGGGATGGGACTGAACAGGCTCTGTGGATATAGGTCTCTAAATACTGTGTCTGCATGGTTGAACAAATAGGTGCCACCCACAGAAACTTGTTGTTAGCTTCGTCACAAGTCGCGAGTTCGTAATCAGCTGGGCAGGAGAGCGCATACGTGCATATAGCATAGCCTCGCATGCCTCAGCACCGAAAGGTGCAAGAAAGGTAGCAGCATTGAACTACGCCAGAAGACTCCAAAAGACCTCCCGACTGAGAACAGGGCACCACTCCGACATCCTCACCTGAGTCGAAGTTGGAAAGGGCTCCGGGCACAGGGTGCCGTACTTCCAAAAAGCTTGCCTTGCTGCGACCCATCGACATCTCGACTTTCCCTTTCGGAACTTCTTTCGAGCTGCTGGCGCGACAGAGAACGTCTCGCTCGATGCTTGCACCAGGAGAAGTGCGAAAAGGGTGCCATCTCTGACCTGCACGATTCGGAGATTCGGAGCTTGCAATACTGCTGGGACTTCGTCAGCGTTACGCAGAGTGGCAGCTGTTTGCTAGCCGAGCAGCAGTCATGCCAAGTTCGAGCACCGATCCAGCTGGAGAGCCCAGTAGGCTGCAGAAGCCAAGAGTGCACCCAGTCATCCAGACACCCTGTAGCCGGCATCTGAGCATCTGTGATAGTCAGGTTTTGCAAGACACCCGGAGGGGCCAACGTGTTCTTGCTAATACCACCGCAAGCTGGCGAAACAGATGTTTTCATAGTTATCGCAGGGGTAGCTTCAAGATCCTTCTTCCTCATGTCCTACAAGCAAGAGCATCGGCCTCGACCTTTGAAAACGTGTCACAACCTCCGGGCGAGCTCCGAATCGAAGACTGGCGAAAAATTCCGAGGACTCTGAAAGCCCAGAAGGTCCTCAGGACTGGCCAACTATCCAAGCCTGCCTTTTGTAGACCCACAGATGTTCTCAAGCAGTGAGACAGGAAATGATGGCGCTTGGGACTCAGGTCGCCAGGCTGAAGGGCATCCTCAGGGCAGAGTGGAAACGTCGCCGCGCGCGCGCGGGCGATTCTCGCAGATGGGCGGTCCTTGCTGCTGCTTTGGAGGCATACCTTCAGCAGTAGGTGCAGTGTAGGAATCCTTTAGCGACCCTAGCATCGAGTTGCTCAGCGCTGCCGAAGTGCACTCTCGCATGTGTGGTGGCGAAAACGACGGTCGCAGCGATCCTTAAAGGTACTGGCTCTCGGTGAAGACGAAGCATTGTGTGCTTCGGCACCATTGTTGGACCCTGACCCACCCAGCAGCTGGGCCAGCACGTAGTTGGGTATGTAGTAGCCAGCATAGGACCTGCACTTTCAGCGGGAGCATGGGAAGAGGGGTGAGCTGACAAGGAACTGACAGTTCAGATAGACAACAAAGAGCAAAGGCTGACAGGCAAGGGGAGTATGTCGAATTGCTAGGTACATATGTTGAGGGGCACAAAGTAGGTTGGATTGAAGGCAGGATGCGCGACACTGGTTTACAAACTTTGGCAGATTTTGTCGAGTGGGCGGAGCGAGGAATGAAGTGACTTAGTGGGGGAAGTGAGGGGAGCAGCTACCTGGCCGCAAGAGGCAGCAAAAGCCAATGAGAACGTGATTGCTTGGACAGGCGACGCAAGGAAGGCCGAAATGAGAGAAACCAAGAGAAGCAGGAGGAGCAAGGAGGTTCAAGTTGAGCAGCAAACTGCGAAAACATCGAACCAGGTACAAGCAATAAATTATCGAGCGAGTACGAGCCTGTTCTGTATCAGGGCAGCCACGCCGACCCCCACCCTCAGCCGGTCGTCAACTCCGCAGGAAAATGCGAAGGCAGCTTGACATTGCAATGGCAATGGCTGCGTCTCTGTGGGCCGAACGAAACAGCCGGGTTCAGGCCTCAAGCCGAAAGTCCCAGCGCTCTCCACTGCGCTCCCGTTGCGATGGCTCAGGCGCCCGGCAGCCCCCGGAGATGCCGGAAGAGCAGAGGCTGCCAGTCAGCAGAGCGAAGCCGATGGCCAAGCCAAAATAGAAGTTCCTCGCAATCGCATTCCATCGCATTCCATCGCATGCCGCAGCAAAAGCGCAAAAGCGACAGCTCGAGCGGCTCGCGAGCCTCTGAAAGCTGCTGGTGATGCCCTTCCGAATTGGCATTTGCAGGGTTGGGGGCTGTGGAACTCTTCTTGCGAAAGACTTCCCCTCCGGCAGCGCGCCTTTACACAAGAGACGGAGAGAAAGGTCATGCACAGCAGCAGAGTGAACGTAAACCTGCCACTGCATTCGCCACCTTCTGGGGCTCGAAACATTGAAGTCAGCTGAGGCTTTCAGCACACAGCCAGGGCCACTCTACGATGTAGGCGCCGCCAGCCGTATACTTCTCCTTCGATACTCACAATCAAGCTCACCCAGACCGACAACCCACTCTCACTGGAGCCTGAGGTGCCAGTGTCCATGTTCGACCTGAGGGTGAAGATATGCATCGACGTACTGGCCATCGACCAAACCCCAAACCACAACCCCGCTAGCATAAACTCATCATGTGAATATCTCGAAGAGAATCATCAATAACAGCCTCGTATATCTAAGCCAAAGGCGTGGCTGCAGGTGAAGACAAGCGATGACGGCCAGAATGCCGGCCGCCACCTCTCATTCCAAATAATAGAAACCCACAAAGCATACGTGGCCATGGCAGTAGCAGTATCAGTGGCAGTCGCAGCAGTAGTAGTAGTAGTAGTAGTAGTAGTAGTAGTAGTAGTAGTAGTAGTAGTAGTAGTAGTAGTAGTGGTAGTAGTAGTAGTAGTAGTAGTAGTAGTAGTAGTAGTAGTAGTAGTAGTAGTGGTAGTAGTAGAAGTAGTAGTAGTAGTAGTAGTAGTAGTAGTAGCAGTAGTCGCAGTAGTTGTAGTAGTAGTAGTAGTAGCAGCAGTAGTAGTAGTAGTAGTAGTAGTAGCAGTAGCAGCAGTAGTAGTAGTAGTAGTAGAGTAGGCGTTAGAGTAGGAGTAGGAATAATAGCAGCGGTAGCAGTAGTAGCAGCGCGACGTAGTGGTGTCGGTGGAAGTGTTAGTAGCAGTGGTTATCGTGGTGCTAGTGCTCCTGACAAGTGTAGTGGTTGTGGTGGTGTACTGTTGCTGAGTGTTGGTGTTTGCTTTAGTGTTAGAGTGGGTGCCAATGGTAATAGGAGTGGTCACCATCGGCATGAGCTGCAGCATTGAAGAGGGCGTCTAGATGCTTGGCTATTTTCCCGGCATTGCATCTGCTCCATACGCGTGAGACAGTTCGCACTTCTGAACTTCCAGGCCTGCGCCACCCAGTATGTTAGCATCTGAGTGACCGAAACTCTGCGCGTGCGTGAGAGCACCTGAGTCTTACATTGGACCGCAGGATCGAAAGGCCTCGTTCGGGGCTTCAGTTCTAAGTGCCCGACAACGGCTGTTGTCACAGCGGGGTTGAAGTGGCCTCTAGGGCAGAGGCTCGTGCGGCCCAAGGCCGAGGATACTAGGAGGAAATGGCTTGGGGAACTCAGAAGCCGATCGTCGAATGGGAGGCCACAAACCCATCTCACAGTCTTTGCAGTTGCCTCCAGACAGGTCACCGACGGCATAGACAAGGCTCCTGAACATAAGACGCATCAGCTTCTGAGGCTTTCTTCGTGTCCGCCTCCACACTGGGGTTGCAGCATGAGCGCTGAGGCCGTGGTCCAGGAGCAACTCTCGGGCGCGGCACGAACTCCGCTCAGCCCTGGAGTGGACTTGAAGTACGGTGGCAAAACACTCCGTCCGGCCGAGTCCACTGCCGTAAGTCACCACGACAAAAAAGCTGCCGACGAATTCACAAAGATACCTTGTCACATTGTCATTCCAACTGTTCTGCTCCCGAGCTGCTAAATCACGAGACCAGGGCCGAGGCTTCACTGCATCACTGGGCTCGTAGTTCTGAAAGCTTGCAAGGTCCATGTACTCTTCGGGTCCTCAGAACGAGGTTCCCTCACCGAATACCCAAGGTCAGCTCCTGACGTTTGGTAGCGGCTTTTGCAGGCCTTTGAAGCGGCCTTTTGCATGTTGGCGCAACCTCCCCTCTAACGAGTTGAAGCACATGTGACCATCAGCATCCAAGCAGCGCATGACTCGAAATAGCGCCGAAGCCAGCAGGCTCGCCAGAAGCTGGGAACGGGAGTTGCATGATATCAGGCTCGTTATCTATGATGGAAGCGGCTCGCAAGCACAGCAGATACTGCACCTGGTAGCACAGGTACATCAGTGATCCTCCTTCCTGCAAATTTGCACTGTTGGTAGCTGCAAGAGTGACCGAGGACTGATGTCTGGGGAAGGAAACGGTCGCAAGTCCTTGCCGACCACCCCGATGCCGAATGCTACAGCTGGGTTGAAGACCTGAGCTGCATTCCGCAACGATGTCGTGCCAGAGAGAACTCTGTGTGGTTCCCATGTCTGACCGCCCGGCTCCACCAGACATCTGAGACGCACCGATGCCAGCAATCAGCGCAAAGCCGCAAGCAATGCCCTGGGAACAGCAGTGGGTCTTTAAACAAAGGTACCGAGACTTCTCCGTAGTTCAGTCAAAGTAGTGGCAGACCTGCTTGGGTTGGCTTATGTCTCGCGCAGAGCCGCGCTGTTATCACCTTTCTTAAGCAATGTCCCCTCTGCGACTTCTGGAACTATCTTTTGCAACCTTGACTTGGCAAAGGAATGTTGGGCAGACCTGCAAGATTAGATTTGATTGAAGCCCACACTTCGATCTGGGTCCGCCCGCGTAGAACTGATTCGGCTCCTGGTCAGGGTTGTTCCGCCGGCTGTAAACCTGGGAGTCTCCGATGAGCATGTGTTGGTCAAAGAGCTCAATGCCACGGGGATGCACAAAGGACGACGAAGTCGAGCATGGCCGTATAGATCATCTCCACCTCGATAGTATTCCAAACAAACTCCCAACCCCAATCTTAAACGACCTTCCTTTCTCTATCCCGATGCTTGGAGAACCGTGTGGACTACAGGTCCCAACACATCGGAGATTCATTACAGCAGCTTTTGCATTCAAAGGTCACATCGAGCTTAGACCTCTAGGATCCTCTAGGGCGGCCACCAAGCACGCTTGAGTCCAGCTGTCTCCCACCTCTAAACAGCTGAGTGATTTCCGGCACTCGCTTGCCATGCTCCGAGCCTTGGGAATGATGGTCGGGCTCGCCTCCACGTGCCGCCAATGCAGCAATGCAGGAACACCACAAGAGCTGTGCAATGCTGCACGGCGGTGGCACCTCGAAAAGTTGGCGAACTGCAAATAAAGCCAAGATCGCAGCAGCGCACTGCGAGACAATGTAGGCCTGCACTTGGAAGGTCTGTGATGCGCAAAGCCGAATTGCTGGAAGCCCGGCACACGTGGTGATGCCACGGAGTTTACCGGCCAGAAACCTCAAAATGAAAGAGAAGCACTGCTCGCAGCTCAAAAAGGAGCTGGACAGGAGAACAGCTCAAAACAAGTTCATGTTCTGTGTCTACGGCCAACCTTAACATCCGTCCGTCTGGGCTTCGTGTTGCTTCCGAACAGATCAGCGTGAAGCGGCTGCAAGTAAGAGTATTGATTCAGCGAATAATCACCTACTCGAGTACCTAGTCCTAAGACTGCAGGCTCCACTGCTGGCTGAAGCTTGCGGGCGTCCGGCTTACAGGACGAGCTGCATTGAGATGGAAATCGACGGGTTCAGATGGCCACCAGATACAGAGCCAAATGCATACATCATTACCTCAGCTGACGATATCTTCAAGGCCGAATTGGCGATGAGCGTGTCGAAAACAGAAAGCGTGGATCTACGGTGTTCTGGGTCATCTCAGGCACCATGGAGGCACAAGCGATGGAGATGCTCGCCCAGTCCAATGCTATTCCAGACAAAGTCGTGCAGCCGACCTCGGGGGTACGGGCAGCTACGGGCGTGCTCTCTCTCTGGCCTGGGCGACAACTCTGAGGCACGGGACGGTGAAGGCGACCACGAAGGTCCCGACGAACTCGGCACTGAGCGCTGTGAAGGTCAGCGGCTTCATGGCCAGGCTGAAGAGCCCTACAGGGAAGGAGCGCGGGATCCAAGGAGTCAGAGGGGCCAGGGCATTTTTTAAGGGGTGTTCAGGACAGGCATGCAGGATAGGCTTTGGGAAGGACCGCGTCTCACCGGCCTTTAGGGGCCCAATCGCCCGGCCGGGCAGCTAGGTTCGGTTCTCGGACTGAGAGCACATTTGGCTGCCAAGGGAGCGGCGAGCAACGACACTGAACCTGAAACCCTACGGAGGTGCTCTGTAGAGCTCAAGCTGCGAGCCGACTTATTCGTAGTGTCACTGATCGGGTCCAGCATTGCCACATACATCTTTCGGCTGTCCGTGATGATCAACCAAAGTTGGGGGACAGTGCACGCTCTGGCTCCGAACCAGAGTGTGGGCTTGAGCCGCGCAGTTGTTCATCCTCCGTGGTTTGCAGTTTAGGATTTCAGTGTACCACATGCACGATTTGACTCTGGGCCTGCGCAGCACGCATTTCTGTATTCGCATACTCATGCATGCATACTCCCAGGTATCTGCATGTGACATATATGTGTGTATCGGCGAATATTAAAACAAAAACAATAAGACTTAGTCAAACAGTGAGAGAAAGGCCTTGGGGGAGCAAAAGCGAGTGAGACACACAACGAGCGAGCGAGACCTCGATCCAGACGGCAAAGGAGAGGAGAAGGATGACGTCGAATTGTCGGGCAGCTCAGCGACAAGTTTGGGGTGGCTACCACCGACTGGTGCACAGACGTCACTGTACCCCAGACGCTACGACGCAGAGCATAAGCCTGAACCGGCGGGGAAGTCACAATGCTTCAAGGGTAATAGCTGCACCTGTTCATAAGCCTGTACTAGAGTTCATGCGATTCGTCTCATCTTGTCACCACGTATGCCCACTCCTCCACTCTTGCTGCACCGCGCCAACGTTGCAAGCCCGTTTTGTTCTCACTAAAGCTCCGAATTCGACAGAGCAGGTCACGGCAGCTCAAAGCGATCCCTTTGGGAACCAGACTGACCGAGGCCTGCATTCCAGATTGCAGTGCTGCGCACCATCCGAGCCCCTTCGGAGCCCCTAAAGTGCAATGCTGCGTGTTGCTGGGACGAGGCACCGCCAAGCTAGTCAGTCGGATTGGCTTTGGGAGCAAAGGGTTCCGGGAGCAGGGGATCTCCATCTGCCCCAGCCTCACTGGCTCACGAGAACTATGCCGAAGCCCAGCGGCCTAACGTGTCACTTCTGCGCAGCCGCCTCTTGTGCAAGCTGCGTCATCGACATCTCGGCCAGACGCGCACATGCACCACATGTCTAAATTCGCACGGATCCTCCTGCTTCTCATAGTCATAGGCTAATCTGAGTCGCGGGCTGCACGCTTCTGAAGTCCTTGGCTGCGGAAAGGCGGAGTTCTTCCAGCCAATAGCGAGGCTTTTGCTGAGGCAAACCCTCTTTTTCGGGTGCCCAGTGCAGCCCAGCCACGGACCGAGAAGCCATACTTCGGAACCATGTAGCCCTGCTTCTTGAAGCCTCGCATTGTTACGCCGAGGTTGGGCCTCCCGACTTGCGACGTAGCAGGCCTTTGGCAACTTCTTGGATGATGGACTTGGAGGTCTCCCCGGGGTCGAGGAGTTCGTTACCCTTCGCATCCTCACAGCGTTCTGGGCTGCTGAGAGCAATGCTCACTCTGTTCTCGCCTTGCCCTCGATGATGTTGGTCTGGATCTGGTCTTGGGCACGAACCTCAGCCAGAAATTTGCCCGTAAGGCCAGGGCCCCTCCTGCCAAAAACCTCTCAGAGCGCCGCCAAGGCCCTGATCTTCAGCTTGCCCTGCAGCGACCTCAGACATCCCCACTGGCCCCAATATGTGGTCACCTCCGACCTGCTGTCCGTAGATATGAGCTTATTCATGGACTCCAATGGATCGGAAAAACTACCGCTTCTTTCGTGCACATCACGGAGTTGTTGCGTGCGACGACCGCTGACAGCCTAATCCCCCAAGTCCGTGCAGCTTCAGTCGCTCGCCCGACAATGGCAATGTCGAATATTGGTCGACAGAATGTCGGGAGCCGGGCTCCAGCATTTCGATCTGCAGGAGCTCGTCCATATCGGGATCCTGCGAGGACTCGCGGACTCGCATCGCTTCGCCCGGAAGCCGAAAGCCGTACTCTCGCGCCTCCAGGGGCTCGCCGCTCTTCTCCGCCTGCAAGGCGCCCGTGCGTCCCGGGCACGGCCGATGCCATCTCTGTCAAAAAGGGAGCCCCAAAAAGGTAATGTTCCAACGCCTGCTCGATGATCTCTCGGCGACGCTGAGCGGCCTGGCTAGAGTAGAAGATATACCCTCCCCTCGGTAAGTGCACCTCGTGCCTGGGCTTGCACTGCTAAAACGGGAGCTTGACAGCGCCGACGTCCGCCATTCAGGGTTAATCCAAGGATTGCTTTTGAAAAGACGGCAATGGAATTGGAAGCACAGGCTGCGTACCTCAGGACCGAGACGGCCTGTTCTACCCGGCAAGCACTTCTTCAATGATGCAGGATTCTGAATTTCGGAAGGCACGACAACAGGTGCAAGCATGCACCGCATCACTTATCGTCAGCCCATAGCGCCTCAATGGCCCACACGCTGCCCGGAGGAGCCCGCGCTGGCAGCGCACGCATCAAGGCCTCATCACCGAGGCTGTACATTCAGCGCATGGATTCTCTGGTTCCGTAGAACAGAATCCAAGATCTACCGTCATGATCACCCCATGATGCCCCATCGGCATGATTGGGACAACGGTGAGCAAATAGTCCAACAGTTGGTGCTTTTTCGCACGACAAAGCCAGCAGCAGGTACAGTGCGGGCGCGATTTCGGAACTGTGCCACCAGGAGACGTCTGTGACAGGCTTTCGCCACACTCGATCGAAGTCTTCCTGTTCAGAGGGATGAGCCAGCTCCGAGTTGGTCTCTGGCGAAGATGTGCCCGCACACGCCCCTTCATGCCTCGTCGTGCTGGCCGAAGCCAATGGCACGGACCCACTGCTGCAGCCCGAAGACATCCTGCAGCTATCTGCGGACACTCACTCTGCCTTGAGGCTTCAAACGGTCTCATTGTGTCCTCCTCCTCGAAGTTCAACTCCTCCTCTGTCGCCACGACCACCTCGCCTTGGAGAATCGCATGAAGTTCAAAGCTTGCGGAGCTTCTTCTCACGTCGGCATGCACTCAAGCACAAGGACCGCCGGCTCTGAGTCACGGGCCGACGTCCTCGGCCTCTCTGGCGGTGAAGCCCGATATGCCACTGCTGCTGGACTCATCTTCTTCTGCTTCTGGCAAGGCGCTGCGACTGTCGAATAGCCCTGCAAACGATTGAGGACTACC